TCCATGAATTGGAAAAGGAAAGGGAGGCCCCAGCACACATCCAAAAACGACATCCTCCCTCACAAATCATAGGACAACTCAAGGATGGTATTCATACCAGAGGTAAGTATCGACCAGATCAGTATGCTCTTGTCTCTTTACTGGAACCTAGAAATTATAAGGAAGCACTCACTGATGACGAATGGTTGAGTTCTATGCAAGAAGAATTAATTCAATTTGCTAGATTACATGTCTGGGAACTTGTTCCTCGTCCATTAGATTGCTTAATTATAGGAACAAAATGGGTTTTCAGAAATAAAACTGATGAAGAAGGTGAAGTAATTAAAAACAAAGCCAAATTAGTAGCACAAGGTTACTTACAAGAAGAAGGAATTGACTTTAAAGAATCTTTTGCACTTGTTGCACGAATTGAATCCATTAGAATGCTTTGTGCCTATGCTTGTTACATGAAAATTCCTTTATATCAAATGGACGTAAAGAGTGCTTTCTTGAATGGAGAATTAAAAGAAGAAGTATATGAAAGTCAACTACCTGGTTTTATTGACCATAAAAATCCTGACCATGTTTACAAATTATCAAAAGCCTTGTACGGTTTAAAACAAGCACCTAGGGCATGGTATGAAAAACTATCCACCTTTTTGAAAAACGAAGGTTTCTGTCAAGGAAATGTTGACAAAACTTTGTTTATTAAAAGGGAAAATTCAGACACTCTAATAGTGCAAATATATGTTGATGAAATTGTGTTTGGTTCAACAAATCCCTCTACGTGCACAAAATTCTGTGAAAGCATTAAATCAGAATTTGAAATGAGTATGATGGGTGAATTATCACACTTCCTCGGCTTACAGATCAAACAAACTAAGTCTGGAATTTTTATAAATCAATCTAGTTACACTGAAGCCATGCTTAAAAAATTTGAGATGAACTCTGTAAATGAAAGTCTGACCTCTGTGGCTACAAATCTAAAGCTAGACAAAGATGAAGGAGGGATAGCAGTTTGTGAGAAGAAATACAGAGGTATCTAAAGGTAACAATAAGTGTAGGTTTATGGTATCCAGCCTCTGATTCATTTGAATTAGTAGGTTATAGTGATTCATATTTTGGAGGAAGATTGGTAGATAGAAAAAGCACCTCAGGAACTATACAGTTCCTTGGACCTGCTCTGGTTTCATGGTTTAGTAAAAAACAGGGAGCAGTTGCCCTATCAATCGCTGAAGCTGAGTATATGGCAGCTGGAAGCTGTTGTGCTCAGATCATGTGGATGAAAGCTCAACTTTCTAATTATGGGTTTCTATTAAATGGTATCCAGGTGTGTTGTGACAACACCAGTGCAATTAGCATGACAAAGAATCGTGTCCAACACTCTAGAACAAAACACATTGAGATAAAATATCATTTTATCAGAGACTTAGTACAAGCAGGACATATTTGTTTGCAATTCATCTCTATTGAATCTCAATTAGCCGACTTATTCACGAAACCACTCTCCAGTGAACGCTTTCTCCAATTATGCACAGAGATAGGGCTCAAATTTTTTAATCAGATTAAAAATCTTGTAAACTAAAACCCTATTGGGCCTTTTTTCTCTGGATATTTAGCGTGTCTCGGGTTATCAAATAACTCTCTTTTCGGCTCATGCTTGCGTTGTTCCAAGACAGCGCCATGCATGCTATCAACTAATCATTACACTTTTTCCTGCTTTTCTCCTGCGGGAGACTCTTCTGCTTCTCCTCTGTCCATCGTTTTCCTGCCTATATAAGGCTACTTCTTCTCTTAATTTCCTCACTGTTCCATCAACTCAAAACCTCCACCTTAACCTACAAACTTAGAAAATCCTTGAGTCTCTCCCAAATATGAGTGATTGCATTCTTCGTCCCTTTCGTTTCGATGGACTGGTTCACACCTTCTCTGGATATATGCTCCATGAACCCAGGGTGTTGAATCATCATCAATATCTTCAATATTTTGACAAGAGAAGGATCCACCACATAACTCAGCTTGATCCTTACGAATTTAATGTCTACAAGTATGACATTATTTCCCTCATTGAAGGACTTGGGTGGGATTTCCTCCTTCGTCAGCCCCTTCACCCTGCTTGTCCTAGAGCTGTGAAGTATTTCTTCTCAAATCTTCAATGCCAAGGAGTTAGCTCAAGGAATTTTACCACACTGGTTTATGGTCATCTGCTGACTATACCATTCGATGCCCTAAATGGCATTCTTGGTTTTCCCTCTCAAGGACTTGGAATAGCCCATCCTTCTGAATTCTGGAAGCATGAATTCAAAATCGAAGTGGAATACAACAACTTCTCCACAGAGCCAATTGGTGGCTCTGATGTCCCTATCCTTGCTGCCTGGTTACCACCAAGGCTGAGAATTTTCCATTATTTCCTCACTCATGTCTTCTTTCCTTGGTCCTTTAATCAGGATCGAGTTCTTCATATGGATTTGTGGATCATCACTAGTGCAACAGCCAGGCGAAAGCTCGATTGCGTCAGCATTATGTTCGGCCAGCTCCTCCCTGTGGCTGATGAAAACTACAAAGGCCTCCTGCCTTTTGCATCCATCATAACCCGACTACTGATCAACCTATGGGGTTGATTTATATGAGTTTCGGAGTATCTCCATTCTCCTCTACTATGTATGTGAGTGCACTAAATGTTCTTATGGTCCTTGATCTGCCTACTGACATTCCTCCTCCTTCTCGTCCCTCTGCTTCTCTTCTTGGACCACCTCCTAGGCCTCTTCTGCTAAAAAGGCCAAGTCTGCTAGTGAACTCAGTAAGACTGGAGACCTTTTGTTCACCATATCTGAAGGCAACTCCTCCTCTGATGATTCTGCAGCCTCTGCTCCTGCCTCCTAAACTTCTGTTTCTTTGTTTGCTTAGGTAGTTGAGCAATCTTTTGTACTTCTCTCCTGGATTCAGGATGATGCTTTTGTTAAGGGGGAATGAGGTTAGGAATCTAGCAGTTTAGGTGCTTTTGATTAGGGGGAATACCGTTTGATATTTCCATACTTTTGTAATACTCATATCCCCCATGTTGCTCCTAATGTAACCATGCTTTTCATTAATGCAATTATGTTTTTGGAATCGTGGTCTGCTGTTTTCTTTTCTTCATTTTGCAGGTATCTCCACACTTCTCGGACGAAGGGGGAAATTGTAGAATGGAATTTGGATTGCCCACTGCTCGCCAAAATGATGTCGCTCTGTGCTTTCCCAAAACGGTGTCGCACCATCAAAACAACAAAGCAACAGTTTGACTATTTCTCTGAGTTTCGTCTTTCGAAGTGTTCTTCCTTCTCGAGCTCTTCATTCTCGCAGACCTCTGCTCCCCACACAAGAAACTAAGTCAACGACCACCACCTCTATTCCTCGCAATGATGATCTCTACAAGGGGTGTAGGAAACGGGTCTGAGGTCTGCGCAACGGTCACTTTGAGATCCCTCATATAAATAGGAATCAATCGTGTTATTTTGAACTTGACAGTTGAGAGCAAGTGTGATTGGGAAATCTACTTTGTTCTTCATGGGTCAGTTCTTGTACTCACTTCGGTAGGTCATTCACAGGGTGTGTAAACTGGGTGGTTGATCCTTGGGAAGTAGGGGTTTGAGTGTTTCTTTTTCATTTTCAAAGGGCCAAGCTACTTGGCTTGGCTAGGGTTCTTGTTTCTGCAAAGTGTAATATTTCAAATTCAATAAAATTTCGATCTTTTCTTTTCACTCTGATTCCACAGGGGGGACGACTTTTGTGACTCCAATCGGCTGCGGCGGTCTCTCACGTACGGCCAGACTGATGATCGGAAGAGCCGGATTTAAGGTGACAATTATACGTGACCGTTTGATGACGATGGCGGCGATATTGACGATGATGATACCACGTTGCACTCGAAGCCAGATTTGAGGCCTGATGACAGAGACGGGAGCAAAACCTGATTTGAAGGACTCAGTGCTTGAACTTAGCTGAGTGAGCATGGTCTTTTTGCATCCCACGACGAGACGAAGGAGATCAGCCGAGCATAAGAGACATAGCCGCTTCAACTGATGATTAGCCTTGAACGTCAATTAGGCGATGAAAAGTGAATCAGAGTTGGCAGCGGTAGTGATGCAGTCACAACTGCAGCTCTGTTGCGATTGACGCGATGAGGCTAGAGCCTGTCGGGAATTGAATAGTCCTATGAGGAATTCCAGGAATAAGGCTGCAATGACCTCATAGACAAACGATTGATGACGAGCGGAAGCTCAAAACCGTAGAAGGATCGAGTTTTGCTCTGATACCATGAAGAATTTGATGACGCGGAAATACGAAAGAACACAGAACGAAGAGATTTTACGTGGTATCCTCGATCGATTGATTGATCGAGACTAATCCACGGTGAGCTCATAAGAGCTCACGGCTGATCTCTTATTAGTATTACATCTTGACGGCTTGCTATCACACAAATCGATAGCTAAGCTTATATAGATAAACTTAGGGTTAAAACCCTAATCCAACGAATCAGAGAAGACCCAACAAAGCCCAATACTAACACGGTTTAAGTAACCGCAACACTTATCGACGGTCACTCAGACCGCCGATTTGTCCGTCCCATTTATATCACTTAACGAAGACCAAAGCCAACCGACGCTAGGGAACCGTGGACATAATTGATTTTCCTTGTAGTGAGAAATGAGCTTCTGGATGAGCACATTATAATTAGATCAAACCACTGACAGAGATAAGAATTCTTTAAATTTGGGGCAAACATCGGTTATCCTTACACACACATGCGCTTGGTCTTGTCAAACATAAATGCAATTGATATAAGCAAGAAAAAATCGTAAATCACAACCATCACCTTCATAAAAACGAATATATTGATTGACCATAGTACAAACACAACTATGATCCAACTCCTAAACAACAAGGGGTATTTGTGCCCGACATGGTGAATACATCATCGAGATTAACAGCACGACGAAGACTTCTTATCTCCCGCGAAAATATGGTATGATTGTTGCGAGTCAAAGCCATGGTTTCAAGTTTCTATTGAAGATGCTAGGCCCGTAGGTCGACATGACAATCTCGATGAGCAACGGAAACTGCAGCAACATAAACAGAGTGACCGGCACGGCAGCCAGCAGTATCATCGGAACCACAAACTCCAACTGCCGGTCCATGACTATCACAACGGTAGCAGAGAAAGTCACCATCATGGCCGCGATCGAGACGAAGAGCGTCGACAACCCGATCACCATCTTCGTGGGGAGGGATCTAAGGAAATCAGCCATGGAGTAGCGCGCCGTGAGGATGGCCAGGAACATTAGGACTGAAGTGGACGCGGCATAGAGGGAGATGGCGTCGGATATCATGAAGATCTTGAACGACCTATCGTCGAGGAGGGTCGGGAGCCCAGTGTCCTTGTTCCCGCCGGGGACCGTGAGCGCGGCGGTGAACATGATCGTGATTATGAGGGCGCCAACGACACTGCAAGCCGTCGCCATTTCTTTCATCCATTGTTGTCCCGCCGTTGCCAGTTCTAGGTGGGTCCGCACAAATATTTGCTTTGCCGTTTCGCCTGTGCAATTGAGCTTGTCTCTGTACATGGGATCCATTAGATGTTCCAATTCCTGTACGTTTCAGAAACCAGATAAATGACATACCATTTACTAATACACTCTCTTATTAGATGAACAATTGAACACCAACTCAGAAGGGCTTGAAATTTGCATAGGAATCAGCATATCATATGCTTAATAAACAGAATCATCAGGATTTGAATAAGACCTCTCGGTAACAGAAAGCGTTGATATCATGTCATGACCCACTTGGTCCCAACAACTCAAATTATTGGAAGCAACTGGTTTTTGATACGATATCTGAGTTGGTTTGGCTAACTGGTCATTTGTTCTAGTCTCCATCATCCTCAATATTACCGGTTGCTTAAAACACAATGCATGGTCGGAATGCATTTGCAACCATCTAGTTTCGTGAGTTGGCTTTCATTTGAAACCGTGTGTAATAAAGTCGTTAAGATCCATACAATTTTTTTTTTTTTTACATGGTATCATAGCCTTCTGTAACCGAGAGGTCTTATGTTCAAATCTCGCGACGAACCCATTTGTTTAGCACATAGTATTCAGACATGCATCTGCAAACTTCAAAATCATATATATGATGGCTTTCGTTTGAGTAGGTGTGGTAATAAGTGTTCTATGATCCATAGTAGAATCTCTCACAACAGTTCGTGTTAGTTGTATCATAATTGGCTCCAATAACTCGAGTTGTTGTGAGAAGTCCGTGTATGATACTTCACCACTTTCTTACACCCCTTTAAACGAGCCAACTCATGGGCTCAAAGTTTGCACAAGCTCAGTCTATACCATGTACTTTAAGACAACAGTTAATATTGGGATTTGTGAGGACTAGAATTCATACCAACTTATCCCAATAACTTGAATTGTTGAAAGAAATACATGTATGATACTTAAACACTTCCCTACCATTGATAGAATATGACTAACCTGAAACCACTGGAGTTCTCTTTGCATCTGAAGAGCGGCACCAGAGATGTGAGAAAGATTGGCACAAGGAGACAACATGGCAGCCACATGTAGCATCGAGTTCTCCTCTCTGTCGACCGACGACAACATGGCTGCTCTGTCGTGGAAGGATACAAGAGATTGAAAACCTGCTCTTGTCGATACTCAACCGCCGTCATGAACGCATTCCTGCCTCTGTCGTCGACTTTGTACAACAAAGCAGGGCATGCTTTCGCTGCCTCCTCAACGAATTCGACAATCCCATTCTCCACGGCCTTGTGGAATGCTTCGCACACCCCGTGGCCTTCGAGCTTTCTCAAACCGGCCGGGGTCGATGATATTGAGGAAACATGTTGGCATACGAGGGTTAGGAGTTCGAGAGAACACATGTGGGCCATTTTCAAGTGATAGGTTTTGTTGAACTTACGGCACCAAGTCTCCTCTGAGAACACGTCAAGTACAGGTCAGTCGGTTTGTTAGTACGTAGTAGGCATTCAATCAATCAACAACGAATGCATGACTACTGCACACCCAATACCTTGTCGATCAATGGTTTGTTTGGTGTTGCTCAATGAACTCATCCCAAAGTTGTCCTCTTCTGGGTGCAAAGGACCAGGTAGTCTTACCCTTATATCTGCCAATCCATAGATTTAAAACTTACAATCTAGGGGGACACAGAAAAGATATAAGGAATTGGAGTACTTATTAAGAACTCGTTGATTCTCGATATGACAATCGAGCCGCCCATTAAAGAATCGCGTGCTTTAATCTTGATAATTTGAATAATCTCTCACGTACAATAATTCAAGTTATTAGAAATCAACATATATGATTAATAAAGAGAAACTTACATGAGTATAAGGTTCGTAGATAGAAGACAACTGGACTTCCGCTGGGGAATGAAGTCGACATGAGAGATAACTGAATAGCAGCATTAAAATTATTGGCATCCATGGTTGTAGCCATGCTTGGGCGATGCCTCAGCATATCCAATGCAATGCCTGCTCTTCGGTAATAATTGTTGATCAGTATTTGTCAAAATAACCACAATACATAATCAGGGTGGTTTCGATGGAGCAATTCATAAGCAAGATAATTCGTCCAATTGTCTTATTTATAAAAACGAGTCATTTACCATGACTTCATTCGAAACTGAAATTGCATGTTCCAAAATGGATAATTCAAAATTCTTCAAATCAAATCGATACATTAAAAAAAAAATTACCAGCAAACAAGTCAATTTGATTCAGTTAGAAAAAATGAATGAATCAAACTTACTCCATATTCCACGGTGGATACAGAACTTGAGCACACTGGCACCGTGCTTGCCGTCGTTCTCGTCAAACAGCATCCTAAGTGGAGTGACGATGTAAAGCAATTTAACCAGATCGGAATTGCCCTTCCGAGAGGCCTCTTCCACCGGCAGGACCGCCGCTCCTCGTTGACTTCTTATAATACCGCTGAAAATGGCGGCCAACTTCTTGTTTCTGTAAACCATCTCCCGCACCATCCGGCGATGGCCTCCCGCCACCGCAATGTGAAGCGCCGTGCAGCCGTCACCGTCCTTGATCTCGAGGTCCTCCTCTCTCATTGCCCGCATCAGCTCATAGCCGACCTCCGCCTCTCCGAACTTAGCCGCCAGATGCAGGCCGGTCCCCCGCCGCCCGCCGGGGAACCGCCTCGTCGCCGAATCTGGGTTCCGTCCAATCAAATCACGTAGTCGGGCTATGTCACCTCTACGTATGCAGGCTTCCAGCTCCGCCAAGTCATCGTCGGCCGGCTGGTTAACCTCTGTATCGCAACCATTATTAAATTAATATATAAAATACTGAATAAATATATATATAGCCAGGGATGACAATAGTTGGGTTTGGGACGAATTTCGCTATATCCATCCTCATCCTCATTTTCAATTCATAAACCCATACATAATTAACTTCATTCCCGTAAGCGTTGAAGTTTTTAATCTACATCCTATCCCGACAATTGCGGATATCAGTACATAATACCCGACTTCGAAATCCATCTCCGACTCATCGCTCATCTATCATTACAATTTTCTATACGACCATAATTCATACTCACCCCGTACCCGATCAATACAATAATTTCCATTATTAACTGAATTGTAAAAGGTCTTATGTCCACAAAGTATGGCTACTTTGTGCAGAGAAGGACAGTCAGAGGGAATTAATGATTTAATTACCTTGTACGTTGACATTTCCCGACGGAAGCTCCTGAACATCAAGCAGCAGCTCTGCCTGCTGCTTCTCAACCTGATCGTAATATAAAGTGGCGACGGCCTCCCAAGCTTCCTTGGCGGAAGTGATCCCCCTAATCTGCCGGAGAAGTCCGCTGCCGCACGAGATCTTGATCGCGTGCAGCGCCGCCGCGTTCTCCCGCCGCCAGCAACGTCCTTCAGTACTACTGATATTACCGTCAATGGGTTGCTCGTCAACGACCAAGTGCCAGAGATCTCGAGAGAGGAGATAAGTCTGGAGGCAGTCGCTCCAGTCCTCGTAGCTGATTCCGCCGCCGCCTCCTCCGACCTCAAGTACATCCCTCGTGATCATCATTGCCATTGTACTCTGTATCGTTCCAATTTTATCGGATGTTCTCCAATAGAAACCAGAATTACAAGTACCGAAACTGTCGTTCTCCATTGATTTAAGGAATAGAGGGGGAGAGAGAACCTACAATAAGTCTGCAACTAGCATTAATGTAAATTAATTTTCTTAGTTGAATTGAAGCTTCCTCAAAATTTCGGATCCAGCCAGCTGCTAGATGCTTTGAGTTGGAAGTCCGTACGGTTCAGAAACTAAAAAGAAATGATGATGGAGTAGATGATTAGGAGCTGATTGATAATATTATATGACGACCTCGTTGATGATCTGGATCGAGTATGTATGTAAGCTTAAGAAAATGGATTTTTAAGTTTGGTGGCAACAACTTGAGATATTTAACAATGACTAAGCTACGACCAGAGACCCACTTGGCCACTTCCAATCCACCAACAATGAAGAAAAATGGGAATGTCCCGTGTGACACATTCCAATGAGTGTGTGGTTGTTTCTACTTTTTTTCTTAAATTTGAGTAGTACTTCCTGAAAGTTGTGAATTTTCATCTCAAATTTGTCGAAAAAATATGTTTGGTGATTTTAGAAAAAGTAAAGTTGGTGAAAAGTAAATAATAGAAAGATAGTTGATGGGATGGTGAATAGTTAATATATATAAAAATTAATATATATAAAAATCAAGTTGAGTTACTGTTGCCTAATCTCACAAGTTGATTGGGCAACTATCATTTTTACATTTTAATACCAAAATTTAATTAATTACAACTTAGTTATCATTTACATTTTTATACCCCAAATCTAATTTTAATGTAAAAGTATTGAACAATTATGTTATGTTATCTAAATTTTATGAGATTTTTGTAACTACAATTTTTTTAAATTTTAGGATATCAATTTAGTTTGTATCATACAAGATGTTGTATCACTCAACTGTATTCATTTTGCTTCTCCCTAAAATTTTTCTTTTTCACCCGAGCTGGAATTTTCGACAATTATATATGGAATGTTTGGCTAGGTATCTACATTTATCAAATAATATTTTCCATTTATCTATAAAAAAGTAAATAATTATCATCTTAAATACATCACCATAAAGGAATTAAGCCTCAAACATATAAATTACAGTTCGGTACTTAAACTTAATATATCTTTAGATTTATAACCTAAATTTATTTTTTTGGCACATAAGTCCCCAAATTAATATATATATATATATATATATAAAGATCAAATTGAGTTACTGTTGCCTAATCTCACAAGCTGATTGGGCAACTATCATTTTTACATTTTCATACCCAAATTTAATTAATTACAACTTAGTTACCATTTACATTAGAGGTGGCAATTAGGATCCAAATCCATGAATCCAATCCAATCCATTCACCAAATTATCCACCTAATCCAATCCATTTAAATCCAATCCATTTGATCCAAATCCAATTGGATTCATGGATCAATCCATGAATCCAAATGGCAAATTATGATTTGATACCTATATTTTTATACGAAAAATATAATTGGAAAATTACATTTTGGTACCTAAAATTTTTCATTATGACATTTTAGTACCAAAACTTTTTAAATTTTACATTTTCGTCCAAGCCTTGGATGTCATTTGGATTCATGGATCAATCCATCCAATCCATTTGATCCAATCCATGAATCCACCAATCCATTTGCTCCATGGATCCACGAATCCGATCCAATTGTCACCTCTAATTTACATTTTGATACCCCAAATTTAATTTTAATGTAAAAGTATTGAACAATTATGTTATGTTATCTAAATTTTATGAGATTTTCGTAACTACAATTTTTTTAAATTTTAGGATATCAATTTAGTTTGTATCATACAGGATGTTGTATCACTCAACTGTATTCATTTTGTTTCTCCCTAAAATTTTTCTTTTTCACCCGAGCTTGAATTTTCGACAATTATATATGGAATGTTTGGCTAGGTATCTACATTTATCAAATAATATTTTCCATTTTTCTATAAAAAAAGTAAATAATTATTATCTTAAATACATCACCATAAAGGAATTAAGCCTCAAATATACAAATTACAGTTCGGTACCTAAACTTAATAGATCTTTAGATTTATAACCTAAATTTATTTTTTTGGCACATAAGTCCCCAAATATTGATTGAACATTACATTTTAGTATCTAAAATTTTTGTGTATGACATTTTTGTGCCTAAACTTTTGAAATTCTACAAATATGTCTAATTTTTGTATGTGTAATTAAAACACCCTCGAATAAATGGGTATCCATACCCAACACATACACATTTAGGTTGGTCCAATGTTTAGATTTCACTTGAATCCATTGATCCAATCCACCAATCCTTTTGAACCAATCCATGAATCCAATCAACCATTAGATAAAAGTATAAATTTAGTTTATACCATACAATATGTTGTATCACTCCACTGTAGAAGAAGATTCAACTATTTTATATTTGCTCATTACGTGAAACATTAAAAAAAATGATAAAAGAGAGACGATTCTAAAATATTGCAAGAAAGAAACTCATTTATTACATTTACGGGATACTAAACAAACTTCTACTAACTTAATGCAACAAAAATATGCGACAACTGCATAAGCAAGTTTCAATAAAGTGCTACGGTGAAAAGGGTTGACTGTTGTATTGAAGGGCAACTAAAAGAATTGGTCAAAACCTTTCCATCATCTACTTCCCTTCCCTTTCATTTTTCACTCGCTTTCCATAATCTTTCTTTATTTCTTTCTTTGCCTTCTACGTCCAACCCTAATTAGTATACTATTTTTATATATTTTAATCACAAGTATAAATAGGTCCATATACAACTGACCAAAAGTCTAGAGAATTAATAATTGAACCATGAACTACTAACTTTTTCAGCTCAATGTCGAGTCCAATTAAGAGCACATATATATGGTTATTACTTTCTAGAAAGTTGTCATTTTCCACTATGGATTTGAAGGCATGAAATTTTAAGTGAGTTCCAGTTTGTATTCCTTTTGCTTCTGTCAAGAGTTTTTCTTTTTCACTGGGCTATCATTTTCAACAATTATACATGGAATTTTCAACAATTATACATATAAAATAAATATTTTTCTATTTTCTATAAAAATTTAAATAATTATCATCTTAAATAAATAACCATAAAAGAAACTAAGCCTCAAATATGCAAATTACAGTTGTGCACCTAAACTTAATAGATCTGTATATTTATAACCTAATTTTTTTTTTTGGCATATAAGTTCTCAAAATAGTTATGGAACATTACATTTTAGTACCTAAAATTTTTGTGTATCACATCTTAGTACCTGAACTTTTGAAGTTCTACAAATAGATCTAATTTTTGAATGTGTAATTAAAACACCCTCGAATAAATAGGTATCTATACCCAACTCATACACATTTACATTTTGAAAGTAAATATCCATACCCTACCAAACCCGTCCACAAACTTTCAAACATTTATATATGTAACTCATACCCTACCCATAATCAATGATGTCTACTTGGGTTAAGGTAAATATCATTTATTAGCCATAATTTTCAAAAAAATTAAATTATAGGTTGACCGCCATATATCTATTGTCAAGTCAATATTACTAACAAAACTAATAACACAAATTAATTTAAGGCTAATAATACTAACAAAACACAATGATGGGTCACATAATACATGCCAATAGGCAATCTCCGCCCCGCGACAAGTCGCGCATCGCCACCTAGTATATATATATATGAGGAGTTATACAGTAATTAGGGTGAAATTCGGGGTTTCGCATACCTTGAGTAAGAAAACGGTATCCAGAACTTGAATTGACTGATCTTTCGGAATGATACTCTAACCCTTAAAGATCAAAATCTAGGTCTTAATTCGCTAAATCTTATACTCCATGATCAATTTAATTAGAAACAATAATCGACGCTTATGATTCGTCCAAATATAGGCAAAAAAATCAATGCACCGTCTTAGAGTTTATAGTTTATGATTTAGATAATTAGGACCTAGGGTTCACTCATTAAGGGTTAGGGTATAATATCATGCCAAAAATCCTGTTAATTTGAGGTCTAGATAACGTTTTCATACTCAAGATATGCATTTCCCCGAATTTCACCTGGAGTACCGTAGATTGTAGAAGGCACCATATATATACTTGTATGTTTAATAATTAATAGTAAAGAAGTGAATGAAAAGTGTGTAAAGTGAATAACTTGAACAATAATTTTTAAAAGGATAAAAGTGTAAACTGCAATTCATTTTGCGAGATTTTAGATTTGATTAATTTATAGGTTTTATTCTTTTAGAGTGAATTGATCGATTAGTGAGCTCATTATTCTTTTAGAGTGAATTGATCGATTAGTGAATTGAATTAAACTTGAGCCAACCTTATTTTTATTGAGTTGAACTTAAAACTTGGCTCAATTCCTCTCATTTGCCTCCCTAGTTGAAATTGACACTACAAATATATAGCTCATTAATCCTATTCCTAATCTACCCCTTGGACATTAAACTAGTCCTTCCTAATATTAATATAAAGAGATTGAATTTCCAGCATTTAGAGTAAATTTAGGAAGGATATTATTGTTGCCCCTTCTCATTAGCAAAACAATTTAAGGTTCTGGTTGTAAGCTTTAAGTTAGTTGAATGGTTGATCCTGAGTTATTAGGTGAAGCCATGTGATTTTGTGTTTGACTTTGTAAAGCTTGAAACGAGCAAATTCAGTTTAGTAATTTACTTTCAAACTGTGGAATTGTCTCGCATCATTGGACAAGGTTGAATGTTGCAGCGTGTTCTTTGTCAATCTCGATTTAAGCATAGAAATGGTCATAAGAGTGACCGATTAATTCAATTGTTAATAAATATTTGGAACTAATGTTTTGACTGAGGAATGCAAGAAGAGAAACTTACCTACTACACATGATCAAGCTGAGAAAGAAGTTAACTGGTGGCGTCACTTCTCCTGACTGTACAATGAATTGGCTATCGCTACCTTGTTGCT